GTTACTGTTACTGTTACTGTTACTGTTACTGTCAATGTTGTTGTTGTTGTTGTTGTTGTTGTTGAGCTCTCATTTCTGGAGAATAATTATTGCTGTTCCTCCCCGTCTGGTGCACATTGTTGTTACTGTTACTGTTACTGTTACTGTTACTGTTACTGTTCCTGTTCCTGTTCCTGTTGTTGTTGTTGTTGAACATTATTTATTCTAAAGAATAATTATTGTTGGGCCCCCTGGTGCGCGCCCCCCATGCGCCGCCTAGGCCGCAGCTACATTTTCATCATTTTCGTGAGGAAGCCTCAGAAAAGAGGGTGTGTACAGGATCCGGTTGTTTTGTTGTAATCCGCTTTCCCTTGCAAAAACAATAGAAAATGACATTTCTTGTTCTAATATAATCAAATTTCAAGAATCCCTTGCAAAAAATAAGGTAAAGTGGACATTCGCGCGCGCAAGACGAAATCCTTCCAACACCTTAGTGTTCGCAGCGATTTTAACATAAAAACATCAAAAAACCAATGGTTGTTCAACAAAAAAATGTCAAAATCTCATCCCGCGCGCTCTTGCGGATTCGTATGAAAACCAACACTTTTTAAACATTTCTGTCAAACGGGCTTTTGCGAGCAACTATTTCACGTGCTTCGAACTTCTCCAACAACGGTTGCGCACCTGCCAGGGCCATCATCCCTGTCAAATAATACCATGCGGGACACATTCGTTTTTTCTTCGCGCGCGCACACAGTACGTATCATGTGTATCATGTGTATCATGTACCATATGCATCATATGCAACAGATGTTCTGTGGAAGGCTTAACAACTTCTGTGGGTTCACAAGGCTTAACAACTTCTGTGGGTGTACGAACGTAGGCTTAACAACTTCTGTGGGTGTGTACTCCACGCCAGTGTAGTAGCCACTGTCGTCCGCAGGCCACGAAGTGAAGTGTCCGAACGTCATAGGGCGGGAAGCTGGGTGTGGGTGGTGGCGAAGAGTCGTGTGGATATTTGGTAGAGCTTGCACTGCCCCCCCACAAAGTGGGGGTATTGGCTGGCGTCGCATGAAAACCCTGCACTGGTGAGAACACTGAGCGTTCGGGTAAAGTGATTGTTGTTGTTGTTGTTGTTGTTGTTGGGCTCTCTTTCTTTCTAATAATTATTGTTGTTCTCCACGTCTGGGTGTGCACATTGTTTGTTTCTGATTGAAAGTGCCCTTCCCCAGGCTCGCACCCTGTTTTTTTATCAGGGAAGATCTTGAGGGTCAAACTGTGTCATTGGCCCCTGGTTTACAACAATTGCGGCTCCCGCCTTAGGTTTCCTCACAATTTCGCCAGGAGCCCCGCTCCCGCCCGAGACTTCCTCGCGTTTTATCCAGGAATCGCGCCCTCGCTCGGGAATACCTTAGAATATATTCTCCGGGCGCTCTGGAGTCGCGCTCTCGCTGGAGACTTGCTTGCAATTTACTGAAGAATAGCGCCCTTGCGTTGGAATTTCTTGCAATTTACTCAAGCGCCGCGCTCCCGACACCCAGGCACCCAGGAGTCGCGCTCACGGGACTCCCTCACAGATTACATAGAAATCGTGGGCCCGTTGCAGCCCTTCGTGGCCCCCTCGCTCTGTTTCGTGGCCCCGTTGCAGCCCTTCGTGGCCCCCTCGCTGCCCTTCGTGGCCCCGTTGCAGCCCCTCGTGGCCTCCTCGCTGCCCTTCGTGGCCCCGTTGCAGTCCTTCGTGGCCCCCTCGCTTTGTTTCGCGGCCCCGTTGCAGCTCTTCGTGGCCCCCTCGCTGCCCTTCGTGGCCCCGTCGCAGCCCTTTATGGCCCCGTTGCAGCCCTTCGTGGCCCCCACGCTGCCCTTCGTGGCTCCGTTGCATCCCTTCGTGGCCCCCTCGCTGCCCTTGGTGGCCCCATATATGTATGTCCGTCGTGGCCCCCGCTCGTTCGCGCCCGTGGTGGCACCATATGCATCCTTCTACGTGGCCCACTTGCTACCCTCAGTGGCCCCATCATTGCCTTCTGTGGCCCCGCATTATCTGCCCTTCGTGGCCCCCGCTCCTTCGCGCTCTTCGTGGCCCCATACGCATTCCCTTCGTGTCCCCGCTGTTGCCCTTCGTGGCCTACTTCGTGTCCTTGTGGCCCTGCTGTCGTTCTCTTTCGCTCTCGCTTTCGCTCGTCGTCGCCGTCGTCGTCTTCGTCGTCGTCGTCGCCGTCGTCGTCGCCGTCGTCGGGTCGACGGTCCGCGGCCGCCCCGCCGATCAGCGCTGCCGCTGGCCAGGCCGACGGTCCGCGGCCGCCCCGCCGCTTGCCGGGGCCCGGACTGCAGGGAAAAAAGGTATACCCCCAAAAGAGGTTCGATCGAAAACGAAGAGGGCGGGTATCGAGGGTTTGGGAAATAGGCGTTATTGGACACTCGAGCACATAAGGGCGAACAGTCTTAACATGATTGTTGTTTGTGTTGTTGTTGGTGTGGTTGTTGTCACTGTTGTTGTTGTTGTTGTTGTTGTTGTTGTTGAACATTATTACTTCTAAAAAATAATTATTGTTGGGGCCCCTGGTGCACGGCCCCCTCGCCGCGCCTAGTCCGCAGCCATGTTTTCATCATTTTCGCGAGGAAGTCTCCGGCAAAACGGGTTGGTCCGGATCCGGTTGTTTTGTTACGGGCGGTTTTCCCTTGCAAAAAATAAGGCAAAGTGGACATTTCTTGTTCTAACATAACCAAACTTCAAGAATCCCTTGCAAAAAATAAGGTAAAGTTGACATTCGCGCGCGCAAGACGAAATCCTTCCAAAACCTTAGTTTTCGTAGCGATTTTAACATAAAAAACATCAAAAGACCAATGTTTTTTTTATGGTCAAAATTTCATCCCGCGCGCTCTTGCGGATTCGTAGGAAACCCAACACTTTTTAAACATTTCTGTCAAACGGGCTTTTGCGAGCAACTTTTTCGAACTTCTGCAACAACGGTTGCGCACCTGCCAGGGCCATCATCCCTGTCAAATACTACCATGCGGGACACATTCGTTTTTTCTTCGCGCGCGCACGCCGAAATCTTCAAAAACCATTGGGTTTCTTAGGAATTTTAGCACCGCGCAACATAAAATCATACGAATCGCACCGTAGGTCCTCGAAAAAAATCTGTACGAATTTTCAAAATTTCTACCCATGCGCCAGTGTAGTAGCCACGGTCGTCCGCAGGCCACGAAGTGAAGTGTCCGAACGTCATAGGGCGGGAAGCTGGGTGTGGGTGGTGGCGTAGAGTCGTTTGGAAATGTGGTAGAGCTTGAACCGGCCCCCCCACAAAGTGGGGGTATTGGCGGGCGTCGTATGAAAACCCTGGCACTGGTGAGAACGGAGTGTCCCCACGTGCTAGTAATTGTTGTTGTTGTTGTTGTTGTTGTTGTTGTTGTTGTGGTTGTTGTTGTTGTTGTTGTTGTTGTTGTTGTTTGTGTTGTTGTTTGTTGTCGTCGACGTTCCCCCTGCGACCCGCCCGCGACCCACCAGCGACCCACCCGGCGATCCACCCCGCGACCCATCCCGCGACCCACTCCGCGACCCAGCTCGCCGCGACCCCACCCTCGACCCACCCCGCGACCCAGCTCGTGACCCACCCGCGACCCACCCCGCGACCCGCCCGCGACCCACCCGCGACCCACCCCGCGACCCACCCGCGACCCACCCCGCGACACAGCCCGCGACCCACCCACGACCCACCCGCCGCGACCCACCACGCGACCCACACGCGACCCACCCGCGACCCACCCCGTGACCCGCCCGCGACCCACCCGCGACCTGGCATGCGACCCACCCACGACCCACCCGCGACCCACCCCGCGATCCACCCACATCGCTTAAACAAAGATATCTGCGCCTGCGGCGGGCTCACTGCTCAGTTTGTAAAAAGTTAGTTGCCTGCGGCGGGCTTCTGCAGAGCCTCGCAGACGGACGACGTTCTTGCCCTGGGTTTCTTTGGTTTCGATGGTTTTGCGATTGAAGGCGCGACATCCCCACCAAGATTCAGTGGACGTCCTGGGATCTCAGGGTTGGGTTTCTTGTGGAAGGTTTCTTGTGGACGGGCCCCTACTGTATGTCATACCGCTCTTCGTCGGCTTTGGCAGGTTCGCGTCGTGTCGACTGGCCGCGACCCCGCCGCCGGCGTTCCACGTGGAGCGACGCCGGCGTTCCAGCATCGGTCGATATGGATCGGTGTCCGACGTTGCGGAGACGGCTGGTCGTTCCAGGTGGAAGGATCCCCGCGGTGTCAGGAGCCAACGCCGGGGTCGAAACGACGCGACGCGAACCTGCCGAAAAAGAAGCACGGCAACCGTGCAAGTATCCTCCTCCTCCTCCTCCTCCTCCTCCTTGGCCTCCTCCTCGTCTTCCTTTCCTTGGGCTTTGACATCGGACATTTCCGCCAGGCTGGCTGCGTCAGGGCAGTTTCTGCTTGTAGTGGATCGCGCGGCCTCCAGAAAAGGGGGCCCCGCAGCATCGACGAGCAACGTAGAGAACGGGGCCATGAGAGGGATGCCCTGGCATCGCTTGGACGTGTGCATCTTTTTCTCGGCGAGATGGCCTTCGAGGAGCATCCTCGCCCGTCGAGCACCAGCAAAAACCGCGCACGAGAGCGCAAGATGCACGGGGAGTGGCCGTCCGAGCGACGGCGAGACTCAAGGGAGGAAAAAACACCGAGGGAGGATTCAATGGTCGCCCGAGCGACGGCGAGATTCAAGGACTAGACAATTGGCGTTTTTTGAACGGCCCTGGGCGTTGACGAAACAGCCCAGCCTTGTTCGCTTCCTCTCCTGAGCGCGCTTGCCAGACGACTTCGCGCGGCGGGGCGGCTCTGATGGGGGTGGACTCTTTGGACTCCTAGAGTCAGGAGGGGAAAAAACACACAGACACAATTAATCGGCGATTCTAAGAAAATATGGGAAAATATGGGAAGTGGGGGGGAAAACAAAAACCCTGAAAATATGAGAAAATATGGGGGGCATTTTTATTTGTGTGTATTTTTTTGTGTGTCCCAGTTCCCCTTCATAGAGATGCTCCAGGATCTCTCCGCAGCCGCCGCGGCTCAAGGGGGGAAGCACTGGGGGCGCCTGCCGGCGCCGGGGCCTCCAGGGGTCCCCCCCAGGAGCGATGCCGCGCGGCAACCATCACGGCCTGTGGCTGCCCACCGCGAAGGACATCTTTCGGTCGCGCTGGAAGCGCTTCTACAAGCGCTGCTACAGGCCCTTCTTCGGCTGCTTCTCGTGCCCATGCCCTCCCGCCTCCTCTTTCTCCTCTGCTCGTTCTCCCCATGCCTCTTCCATTCCCCTCGTTGAAGCTTCTCCTCCAGCGCTCCACCCTTTTTTCCTCTCTCCTGCATCTCTACTCCTTGGAGACGTGTTCCACGGATGGAAGACGGATGCTCCTGCGGTTTGAGTGCCGCGCACATGTTTGAACGTTTTGGAAACGTTGCGCGGATGGAGGGCGGTTCTTTCCAAAGTATGGCCACTGCTTCCGTTCCGCGCACACGAAAAGATAACACCCCGAAGTGCTGAAAGGATGGCGGTCTGTGGGTTCGTCTCGCAGTCTTGACTTCATCGTTTTGCTGTCTTCATGTTGGGCATTTCCAATCACGACGAGGTTGCAGGGCGGATGCAGTTCGAACCTCAGGCTTCGCAATCATATGGTAGGCAGCTCATTCTGTCCAATCGCGCTCCCATCTGGGAGTGCCTCGCAAATCCGAATTCTAAATCATGAGCGCTCAAGTGTTACATATAAGTATGGAGCACAGCTCCTTTTCAGCATTGCTCTCACCCTTAGGTGCCGCTCATGAACTGCCGGGGCCAACTAGTAGGTCGCCGCTGCATTTCGAGAGCACCCTGGTGTTCTGTCTGCCGCGTTTCGTGCCCTCGCTCATGTCTGGGAAGCATGCTGCCCTTGCACGGGAGAGACTCGAGTCCTTCCGTAGGGAGAGACTCGAGTCCTCCTCTCCCCCCGCCTCTTCCCACGCCTCCTCCTCCTCCTCCTCCGCCCTTCCTCCTCCCCTCCTCCCCTCCTCCTCCTCCTCCTCCTCCTCCTCCTCCTCCGCCTCCTCCTCCGCCTCCTCTCCTCCTCCTCTCCTCCCCCCTGCCGATGCCGTGGTGGGACTGCGGCGCGCTCCAGGAGGAGGCCCCTCCCTCGGCGGGCCCCGCCTCCGCCGCGCGGGACCCAGGCGGGGCCGCGCAGCTCGTGGGCCCCGAACGGGGCTCACGGCAGGGGGGGGCCCATAGAGCCACGTATTCTTAATGGGCGTACGCGGTTGCTCCCCTCCCTTCCTCCTCCTCCTCCTTCTCCTCCTCCTCCTCCTCCTCCTCCTCCTCCTCGCTCCTCGGCTTAGTCTGGGCGTTTTATGCGGTCTGGCGCATCCCGCCCACCTGCGAAGCTTCTCGCTGGAAGCGGTGGGGGGCTCTGTGCAGCCGGGACGGTGCACGCGTGCTGGCGTGCGCTCACAGCGCGAGCTTGGCACACATCGGATCCTGCGACGAGATCCAACGTATCGAAAAAACAAGACGGAGGTTTTTTCGCAATCTTCGGCCTCCAGGGGCCCTCGACGGGCCCTGGGATCGTCAAAAAACGGTTCAGGATGAAAAAACGGTCCTGGGGAATGGGTCGAGCTTTCCGGTGACCGCGCATCGGAAAAATCACGACATCGGATCTCTGGGGGTCAGTCAGAGAACCTGATGTGATCGCTTTCTTCTTCACACTTCGGGTGTTGCTAGAAGTGCCCCTGGCCCGAGGTCTCCAAGGCGGCCCTCACGGCCTTCAGAGCATCTCTCACGAGGCCCAGCAGGTTCCAGGGATTACAAAGCTGAGCGAAAAGCTGGTGGCACCTTTGGCCAGGGGCACCTCTAGCAACCCCCCATCACTGTTTTGCCGATGGGCGCGGGCCCTCGCACCGCCCATCCCCCCCGTAGAGTAGATCTTGCTTGTTTTTGGCGCCAATATCAAGCAGGTAGAGTCTCCCCCGTAGGACGCACTGCTGCAAACTGTCGCACCAAGCAGAGGTCCGGAGCCAAACCCCTCCCCCCTCCCCCCCCTTCCGCCCAAGGTCGAAACGCCGAAGAAGAAGACGCCCCCGATCTTGCAGGATCCTGCAGGGCCAGGGTCGCATTGACCCGGGCTTAGGCGCAGGATCCTGCAGGATCCCGCAAGGCCCGATTGACCCGGGTTTGTCAGGAGGGAAAGGCCCACACAGACACCATGAATCGTCGACTCCCAGGAAAACATGGGAACACATTGGAGGCGGGGGGGGGGGGACGAAAACCCAGGAAACATGGGAACACGTGGTGAATCCTGGGATTTGTGTGTGTGTGTGTCTGTATTGCTGTGAGTGTGAGTGTGTGTGAGTGTGTGTGTGTGTGTGTGTGTGAGTGTCCGTCCCCGGGCAGCGCCGGTGCGGCGGCGGGAGGGGGCCGGCGGAGGGCGGCGGGAGCCAGCGCGGGGCGTCCCCCGACAGCCTGGCGCTCTGCTGCCGTTGGTGTCACATCGGGCGTCTGCGCTTCACTTCTTCCTCCTCCTCCTCCTCCTCCCCCTCTTCCTCCTCCTCCTCCTCCTCCTCCTCCTCCTCCTCCTCCTCCCCTTCTTCCCTCCTCCTCCTCCTCCTCCTCCTCCTCCTCCTCCTCCTCTTCCTCCTCCTCCTCCTCCTTCTCCTCCTCTGCCTCCTCCGCCTCCTCCTCCTCCTTGTCCTCCTCCTCCTCCTCCTCCTCCTTGTCCTCCTCCTTTTCCTCCTTCTCCTCACAGATGGATGCGGCGCGAAACATGGCGCAAAGAGAGAGGTGGGGTCCAGGGCTCCAGGCGTGGTTCTTCTTGCGACGTGTTCCCTTTCTGCTGCAGCGTCGGATGCCAGGGTTGGCGTCGCTGTGCGCAGCGTCCCCAGACACCCGCGCGCTCCTCGGGGCCGACGGCCTCGGGGGGGCAGCATCCAGGCGATACAGTCGGGGTTCTGCAGAAGGAACCCTTTTCGTTGGGAAGGGGCTCCGTGTTCCTTGATTGCTTCACAGCTTGCCTTCTGTTTTTCTGAGGTCTTCTATGGGGACTCAAAATTCAACTTCTGGAGAAAAGGGGCCTCGTTCCTCATTCAGGGTTCCTTAGGTCAACGTCCCGACTGTAGTTGTATACCTGTCGGTCGTCAAAGGGAGGCATCTCTAGAATCCCAGATTCCAGTTTATCTTAGGAGCCGTTCTACTTCGATTGCGAGTGGTTCCCCCTCTTCCTTCCTCTCCAGGGGGCTGGCAGAAGCCCAGTCTACTTCCACCGCCTCTCTACGTCATGCTTCTACCCACTTCTTCCGACCGACGGGTATCCACATCCAGTGCGTCTTGGTTTTTTTGGCACAGGCGCCGCAAGGCCGAGGCGCACTGGATGTGGATAAATTAAGTCAAGCCCGCAGGGTTCAGGGTTCCCTCGGCGTCATCCCAACATACTTATACTAGATGTGCGTCGCCCCCTTGAGGGGCGACGCGCGCACCGGGAAATCTTATAGTATATGTGTCGCGGCGGGCGCTTTCTGGCCACACCGCTCGGGAAAGGATATGCTAGAAGATGGGTGTAGTATATGTTCGGGTCGGATGCGCGCCTCCAAGGAGAACGTATCGTACCAGTCTGTCTCCGTGCGTCCCATTCCCAGACGCCGACGCCCGCGCGCTCCTCGGGGCGGGCGGCCGCTGGTGGGCGGTAGACGCGGGGGAGCGAGGCCTGCAGGAGGGTGGCCCGCGAGAGGGGCCCTGCACCCAGACCGGTCGGGCCATGCAAGAGGGCAGGGCGGGGGGCGCTTCGCCGTTTCGTGCGCTGCGGGCGGTTGCCGGCCCTCGGGGCCGTCAACAAAAACGGGCCCGGGGACGAACAGCCAGCCCCGGGGAAGGGGTCCAGACCGCTGGGGGCCCACGTCGTGAAAAAAACACGACGCCAGGGGCCTGGGTCTTCCAGAGCAGGCCACACGGGCGGTCGGAGGAACGAAAAGAAACACCAACACCACCACCACCACCCACCACCACCACCAGGGGCGCACCTTCACCGTGGGGGTCCACGGTGCTTCCCCGAGCTGGGGTCAGGTCGGGCACCCCGCCCTCGAGGCGGACGTTCTAGGAAAATTCCAACAAAAATTCAAAAGCATCGTCCCCATACAAATTTCTATGATTTTTGAATGTTCCTCCTGTAGAGGGGCAGGCCCGACTTAAAGCTGGGAGCAGGGGATGTCTCGAAGAGGAGGGGGGGACCACATTACCAGGAGGGCCCTCTCTTGCGCCTGGCGCTGGTGGAGGTGTCTGCTCTCTCTCTCTCTCTCTTTCTTTCTCTCTCTCTCTCTCTCTATATATATATATAAATGTATCAGAGTGAGGGGCCGAGTGGATAGGGAATTTCTGGTGAGAATTATGCTTCTTGCGTGGTTGTTATTGTTGTTGTTGTCGTCGTCCTCCCCGCGACCCACCCCGCGACCCATCCCGCGACCCACCCCGCAACATACGCCGCGACCCACCCCGCGACCCACCCGCGACCCACCCCGCGACCCATCCGCGACCCATCCGCGACCCACCCGCGACCCAACCCGCGACCCTCCTGCGACCAACCCCGCGACCCTCCCTCAAGAGAGGAAAACCACCCTGACCCGACAGTTGACGTTCATTAACTTGCCCTGGGCGTTTACTAAATAGCCTTGCCCTGTTCGATTCATTCCTTGTGTGCGTTTGCGACACGGCTGCGCTTGCCGGGGTGATTATTATGTTTTTTTTCCTGCGACACAACAGCGATCCAGCCGCAACCCATTTGCGACCCACCCGCGGCCGACCCACATTGGGTTATCGAGAAAATCTGCGCCTGCGGCGGGCTGGTTGTATAATTTGAAACATGTTAGCGCCTGCGGCGGGCTTCTCCAGAATCGTGCAAACTGCCGACGTCCCCACCGCCACCTCAGTCTTATCCGCATCTGCGGGGTGACCACCACCACCAAAATTAAGTCGGGCACGTCCCTCTACAGGAGGAATATCAAACACAAGTGTTTTTTTTTTTTCAAAAAAAAATGAGACGAGTGTTCGACTATTGTCGAATATGTATTGGCATCGTTTCCGACTACTTTTGGATATATCCCAATCAGAGCTTGCCTCTGTAGGGGTCTGTGCGGTTTCATATGGTCAGGTTGGGTGCGCCGCCGATTTCGACGGCACGCCCGGGTGCGTGCCCGGGTGCCCGGGTGAGATGCGCCGCCGAT